ACCCTAGTGTTAAAATGTCACATCATGGGTCGAATCTTAAAAACCCCTGTTATTTTAATTAAGGTATTATTCTAGTTCTATCTTAGAATTTTGTTTCTAATTCTTGCAGACAGAAGCACAGGTTCACAGCTAATTCCAGTTTTTACAGAAACTGACTCAGAGCTATTGAAGAACAGAAGTCATGTAAAGTGATTTTTCACATCTGAACATACCACACCAGAAGAGTGAAGAATAATGGGACTTAAAATATATTTAAAGTCTGACAGCAATCAAGAGACTGATTAGTAACTAAATGTCTTTGGATTTTAGATGGGCATTATATTTATATAAACATACATACACACAGGTGGATATTAAATGTGGTATATAGAAATTTTGCAGGTTTTGTTTCCCCTTCATAGCTTTAAAATCTTCAGCGTAAATTGTTATTTTCTTTATCTCTCTATGCAATGAAATATTTAGTTATCCAAAATATAAAAATTGGGTTAAATAAAAAGGCTTTATTGACAATTGACCTAGAACCAGGAAGTTCTATAAAACAAACAAAATAGATGTGTTCAGATTTTTAGAAGGCTGAAAAATGTCAGGAATTGACCTGGATTTTTCATCTTTTATGCTTGACAAGTGACAAGTATCATAGCCTGATGAGTTATGATATTTTTGGGCCAAAATGTAAAGCTGTTTCAATTGCTTCTGAACAAGAAGGTGGATCAACAAAGCTGAAATGCGACATTTTCACACTCCATTTGAAAATTTTAGGATCTTCTAATAATAGTATGTTGGTTGACTCAGAAATTAATTATTTGAATATAAAACGGAATCCTAACTACACACAGAGTTAGAAGTGAGGTGAGGTGGAGGAATCCAGAGGTATCAGAACACACGCACTGCCACGACTCATCGTGCTCATCAGTTCTGACTTTCAAAGAGGTGAAAAATGCAGGGAGCAGAAGCCTGACAGGGCGCTGACGTTACCACGAGGTGCCGCGTGGTCAGACTACTCTCAGTGCTTCTGCCTGTAGCACATCGGGTTATCCGGACCGACATATTCCCAAGTGCAACCTCTGTGAATGACCACGGAGGAAAATATCATTTGTGCCCGTTGGTAAATTGTGATGGTCTTTTAAGATACTTCGGCACCCCCCCACCTGACCTCCAGGGAAGAGGGCGATCGGTTTTGTGCAGCTTGTGCCCTTTGCCACTCTATACAAATTCCAATCCAAAGCCAGCCAAGCTGTCTGTCATGCTCAGCAGAGCCTTGCTAGAGTTGAGTCAGTTAAGTCTCTCACTGATTTTGGGAAATGAGGAAAGGAAGCAAGAAGTGGATGCAGAGAGAAAGCCTGCAAAAGCAGATGCAAAGACAAGAGGAAGAGATGGTCTAAAGACCTGGCAGACTGGAACTGGGTAGGAGAGAAAAAGCTAAGAGGCAGGCATGGGAAAGAACACAGCAAAAAAAGGATCACATTTATGGCAAAAGAGCAGCAGAGCCCACTTCAGTGAAGAATGCTCTGCAGAACATGAATGGGAACATGAGTATTGGCTAAACCTATTCCTCTCTGCCCACTAATATCTGTGAAACCTACTGCTAAAACTTCCAATCTTTCCACTAGTGGAGACTCAGGCCATTACTACCAATTGTTGCCCTGTCTCAGGTTGCAAGAGGTGGTGGTTGACCTAGAGGCTGCAGTTTCACTTATGAGTCACATGGCTGTTCATCAGTGTCACAGAATTTCTCTTTTGCCCTATGCCTTAAAATAAAAAATGGAAGGAATTACACAAGGAAAGTGTTGTCATGAGATATCAAATTCATAAAGTCAAACATCCAAAAACTATGAAATGTCAGGATTAAAATTTAATTTCGCCCCCTTGTGTATATGCAGAGGATTTTTTTTTAATTGGACAATCACACACTATTTTTTTTCAGTGGACCCATTTCCCTAAATGTAGAAGGTTGATCCGCTTGGCTTTCTAACAGTCCACACTGAATTTACGACCTCAAAGTGCTGAGGATCCTCAGTTTACTATCACCCAAAGGTTGACTTAAAGACAGTAGTTCAGAAATGTATAAGGTTTCAGCCTCAGTTACTCCAATACAATTTAAAAAAAAAAAAAATTGAGTAATTTTGAGGTTTTGCTTTGATTTGGAATAATAAAAAAATCTTCCTAAATTTGGCTTGGAGAAGGGATGATGAGGAACTCTTCCCAGTTTTGCTAGGAATACACCCCTCCTTTCTGTTTTTCAGCTCACTTTCAGTAACGAATCTCAATGACCATCATCAACAACTGTTGCTTAAACACTTCTACCGTGAGAAAAGCACCATCATTCTCATCTCTGAAGGGGTAACACAAGGCAAAAAAAGACTGTCAGTTCAAAGTTACACAGCAAGCAAGCAGCAGAAAAAATTAAGATATGGGCTGTTAAATTTGGGGAGTTCTTGTGTAAGGCTGAAGTAGTGTTACCACTCCATTCCCCTGCTTCCCTGCCTGTGTGATGGCATGCCCATGTAGTTTGGGAGTGGGGCAGCGGAATTGTTCTGAACTTTCTGGCTTGAAAATATAGGAATGATTGCTGGAATCAAAAAGTCATGCTTTTATCACAAGGAAAATCCTATGACTGATGCAGAGAGGCCCCTTCTTTATAAGGTCTACTGCACTGAGGTACTATTTTCAGTAGGAAAAGAGGGAAAAAGAGAAGACAGAAAAAACAAGCCCAAGACATCAGTACATTTTAAAGCTCAGAATCTTAGCATCCTGGGGTCAATAAGCCCTTCAATATCATTGAGCTTACCATTGACAGTTCCCTCCACCTATTCTGGTGTCACAGAAATCTGATTTACTCAATAGCTGTATAGGAGGAGCTACTAAACAGAGTATTTGCAGTCACTCTATTTAACAGAGTCAGCATAAAGCAAAAAAAAACAGAGGCAAGTGAATTATATTCTGTGATTAAGTGCAAGTAAATCTCCTTTTTTTAAAATGTGCATGTCCTCTGCAGGAGTCAGGTTCCTAAACGTGAGAGGGGGGTACTTCTCAGATATTTTGACAGGGCAAACCAAGTATCTAGATAAAACAGCAGCAGCCGCAATCACACTGTATTGAAGAACAAACACTCTAAGGAAGGAAACAGTTTTTGCTGAAGGTTGAGCCTTTGATAAAATATGTCAACCAGAGGAAACAGAGTTTGCTACTGAGTGTCATGTTCTCTATTTGCTCTGATTATCATTGCTCAAATGAAAAAAATGGCACGCTGACACCAGCCAGTGGGATCACAACACCACCACCACTATTACAACACTGGTGATGGGCTGTAGCAGCTTCACAGTTTCTAGAGATCTTTCTTAGAAGAAGAAATTGTATATAATGTTTTATAAAAAATGAAACATACTCAGCAACTGTGAACTTGGAAATCACAATCCAGTTCAAGAATCAATTCTATAATAGCTAAAATGTGGAATTTTCAAACAGATATAAAGATTTTCAATTTAAAAAAAAAAAAAAAGTGATGTATTTTTAGAAGCTGGTCAGAGATTTTCAGATGACATGGACACATCTAGCAGGGAGCCTGCAAGGTTTTGTCTGAGTCATCTTGGGGGTGATGAATGTGTGTGGATTCTCAGGCAGGACTCCAATGCCACTCCTGTGTGCAATCCTGGCATAATTCAGAGCTCTGTTCCCATATTTCAAGAAATCTGTCTGTTGTAGGGGCCCTGGAAACATAGGGCTACCTATTTTTTAATACCATGTCTGCTGGATTCTTTCTTTGGATCATGGTCCATCAAAATTCTGGGTCTTCTGTAGCGTCCTCACTCACAAGTCTGCCTTTGCTAGAACTGGAAACCAATGGAATCCAGGCTAACCCCAAACCCTGGGGTAACATTTTTGGTAGATAACTGCAGTGTTAGTTTATACCTGCCTCAGGCTTCAAAATTTGCACCCTCCGGAGTCAGCTTGGAGGCAGATGGTGTGGTGCTGCTGCAGGCACTCCATCCTGGAGCTGAGTGTCACAGCCCCAGACTGAACAGGGGTCAGCCCCCCGGCTGCAAGCAGGACTGCCACAGCATCCCCAGCTTCCCTGGGCTAAAATGGAAGCTCAGAGCTAGGCAGGTCTGGGGACAGGTTGTGTGACACAAGGTCACACTGTGGTGCATGTCTGTCCTAGGCTGCTCCTGACAGTGATTTGTTGGTCAGTTCCAATGCACAGCACAAGGTCCAGAAGAATGTGGCCCTCGGGACAGGAGATCACGTTTCACGGTACGTAAACACATACGTCCATGTGTGATCTATGTCACAAGCGTCTGTTAATGAGATTCTTGTAGAAAACTATTACATTTGATAGAAGGGTTAAGTCTAAAATCAAGTTTCTAAAAATCATAAGCTTCCTCCAGACCATGTTAGAGAATACCAAGTATGACTAGTGCAATCTTTAAAGGAATACAGGAATTGCTGCTGTAGAGCAGTGTTCTCCAGTGCCCCGAACTAGTACAGAAAAGGAGCTTTGCTTAACCCTAAAAGAATGGACTAGAGGAAGAAGGAAGAATGATTTAGCCTGGAATGAGACTTCTGAAAGCAAATAGGCAGAACCGGTACAAGTGCTCTAGAATACAGGATATATACTAGCCATAGGAACGTGCCTGGTGCTGCATACTTACTGAAGACATCAGGTAGGAAATGTGGCAAGGACTGGTATCCCTGGTTACTGTTTGTAATGTTTCTAGTTACAGAATTTTCCTATCCAAATATTTTCACACATTAAATTATGTTAGCATTTTTTAATACTGATTTGATTAGTTTTAAATTACTTTTGTTTCCCTTTGGTCTTGACTATTAGCACTAGCATAACTATACCAGTTATACTTTGAAACTGCACCTCAAGTGAAGGACCCTCAATGATTTAACATCTTTCTGTAGGCCTATCACAACTCTTCTATAACTTTAGCATTTATTTTTTCATATTTTTTCGACCGAGAAAGAAATTTTGAGATAACAACTTGCCAAATTATTCTTAGAAAATGAATTTTATTCAGATTTCCAGCTTTTCCACAGAAGCATTTTGATCTCTTCATCATTAAATGATGGTTTCTGAACAAGGAATTTCAAGTGTTACACATTCTTCTTCTCCTTCTCTCCTATGTTATCAGTGCAGAATGTCTTACAACATCAATGAAAGACAGTACAGGGTACAAAACACACCACTGCCATCCAGTACTACTTGTTCATGCTGAGAAACAAAGGTCAACACAATAAAGTGTTACTCATTCAACAACTGTCTCTATCATTAGTTACCTTAATCCCAGAACCAGTGTTAGTGCTTCATGCAGACCTGAGGTTAGTAAAAGACTAAAACTTTAAGAAGATGTAGTGGTCATTTCTCAATCAGTGTGAAATTCTTTTTAGTGTGAACAAGGGCAACAAGGTAAGTTTGCATACAATCTGGTTACAAGCTTAGTGGTCTAGTAAAAGTAAGAGGAACAAAGGGGATTTTTTGACACTTTGTCTTACCTTCAGATAAACAGAACTGATATTTAATGATCTAAAAAGAGGGGAAATAAAATAATGAAACAATCATAAGGAGTTCAAGAAATGTCAGAACAGGAAGGCCTTGAGTTACTCATTTTCTTTTACCGATTTTCTCATTAGTAACTGAAAATGCAGTATCCTCTTATAAAACAGCTATTTTACTGGAAAGGAAAAATGACCTTAAAACCAACTTTGCAGCTAATAACCTGGAAACAAAACTGATGATTGCAAGGCTCTCAGATTTCCAGTTTAAAACTTTACATTCTAAAAATGTAGCAAGCCTTAAAACTTTCTTATGAGGAAGGTTTGCTTTGATTAAAGCATGTTATGTACCTGAACTAGCCTAGATGAAGGAGTACCAATGCTTCCATGGAGACTCTGTACATGGGAACGTGATAAAATTCACTGTAAAAGTACAGGGTCTGGTTGCTATATTAAAGCACCTTGCCACATGTTAATGCCAGGCATTGTCTCATGATGTCAGGCAACAGAATAAAGATTTAAAGGCAGCCTTGCCCACATTCTCAAATATATACATACAATCTCTCCAATTAATGGTAACTCTTAATGTTATGTGAAGGTCTGAATTTTTAGTCTTTATAAGTAAGGATACTGCATTTCAAGTAAGATTGTATAGAAACAGTTCTTTACTGCACTTCTTACCTGCCTCTGAGGGGAAATGGTGGTATGGTGCTGGACAGAAAACCTGAGCAGCAAAATCCTCAAATGTTGTAGGCTCTAGATGATGTTGAACAATTGTTTGCAGGTACCGTGCTCTCTCCTCATAACTGGTTTAGCCAAGAATTAAGGACAAATTTATAACATGTACTGTAATGGCTAAATATCGGTGCCTAATAATTCAGAATTCTTCGTTTTGTTAAATACACATGTATTTCAGTGACTGGACACGCTTATTTTTAGTTCTGTACCTAACTATGGTGTTATCTGATGCACTGAAGCACTATTAACTGTAAGATAAACATGATTAAGGCAAACCTTATGGTTCAACCATCTTTTTTCATGTCTGATGCAAAACTTCCTGATTTTTTTTTTTTCAAACAGCAGCAACTTTAATAGTCTCTTTTAAGTAACTCATTTGTCTGTACTCTGGTCACAATTAAATATAAAAATGTTACAATTTTCAAGAGGTATAGCATGAGTGCTAACCTTAGCATTAACAAAGTAAAATATTTGGCACTTTTCTGTAACAAACTGCTTCCATAATTCCTAAACACATAGACACACACACAGAGTTAAGATAAATACATAGCAAAATTTGAGTATTGGGAAAGAAATCTCATCAATTACGCTGTTACAACAAGCAAGAATATTTCTAAAGAATCCGCAGGACCCTTAAATACCGGCTAACAGGGTGTTGGCAGGGCACTGACAGCAAAATACCATACTTCTTCCTTTTCACTGTGTTCTCCCTCTCTGCTATTATTGACAAGAGACCAGTATCTTGAAGTGTTGTTGCTTTTGAAGAACCCTCTCCAGGCTTCTTGTTCCAGCAGGCCTGATTGTGCTGTTAGCGCAGAGAGAGCGAGAAAAAGAGAGACTATTTCTGCTGTTCGTGAAAGCAACTATGGAAATGGCTGTCAAAATGTAGAGCAGCAGGCAGCAACATACAATTATCAAGAAAAACGACCATGCTGACTTCATGCTGTATAGTTCCTGAACTGAGAAATCAGTTAACCTTTTCTCTCACAACTTTCGAAGTCCTCCAGCTGGACTCAATCAGTTGAATGAGGGAGGCCTTCTCCAGTTATCTCACAGAATCACGAAACAATCAGAATTATTCCCTGGCATTTGTGCTCATGCACACTTTTTTTTCATATTTTACTTGCAGATAGTGAGACCATTTTCTCCTTACATAGTTCTGTTTAAAAAAACAAACCAAAAAAACCCACCCAAACTAATCAGCATGCTCTGGAGGAATGCACTCAGAATCAGTTTCTTGAAGGTTCTGGGTTCTGATTTTATATTTGCTGCTTTTCTTGAGGGAGAACAGGGACGGTGAGGCAACTATGTTTCTGACTCAATTTCACTTCTGTGAAATGGGTGGAATAGTCATCTTGTACACATTTTTAGCAAGCCAACCATAAAACTGCATTGTAAGTGGTAAGTATTTTTAATAACAAGTGCTAACATTTTAAATAAATAACAATACTATTTTCAGTTATGATAAGCAATAAAATTCTTAGCCCAAAATTAAAGCTGGAAACAATACCCTTCATCTTAGACAAAACTATACTTCAACAATTACAG